TGAAGTAAAACTTGTAACTCATATTTGACCACAAATTCTGCAACCCATTGGTTTGCTTTTCATTATATCTCTTGTAACTTTTGAACGGTTCGTCCAAAATAAATGTAATATTTAGCAAATTTGTGTTAAATTAAATTATCTGTAATTTATTCTGAAACAATAATACGCTACGTAACTTGGTATACTTTGAATTGCTAAAAAAGACTGACTAAATACTTTGTACGGAACCCTATTGATTTGTAAAGTTTGTGAATATGATTTCAAGATAATTCTCGTCGAGGCCTTTCATTTGATACCCAACATGCCTATATTTGAAGTAAAACTTTTTAACTCATACTTGACCCTTAGTCCGGCAACCCATTGGTTTACTTTTTATTATATCTCTTGTAACTTTTAAACGATTTGTCCAAAGTAAAAGGAATATTCGGTAAAATTGTGCTAAATTATATTATTTATCATATGACCGGATAAAGAACCTTACAGCAAATTAGTATACTTTAAATTTGAGAATAAATTGCATTAGAAATTAAATATATTGCGTGTGCAGAACCCTGTAGATTTATTTGGGTCGTCGTTGTGATATTTTAAAGTGCTCGCCGAGACCTTTCATTTGATACCCGACATGCCTATATTTGAAGTGAAAGTTTGTAACTCATAATTGAACCTTGCGTCCGGCAACCCATTGGTTTACTTTTGTTACGTATCCTGTAACTTTTAAACGGTTCGTCCGATTTGAATGGTTTATTGAGTGAATTTGTGCTAAATTGAACGGTTTATAATATTTGCAAACTTGGAAACCTTACAGCGGCTTTGAAATAGCAAAACTTGATATTAGAACTTAAATAAATATTGTGCACGGAACCCTATTTACTTATTGAGACTGTGATATTTATAAAGTGCTCGTCGAGACCTTTTATTTGATATCCAACATGCCTATTTGAAGTAAAACTTCTTTACTCAAGTTCCGAATTTAGCAACCCATTGGTCTTTTTAATAAATCTCTTGTAACTTTTGAACCGTTTGTCCAAAATAAATGAAATATTCGAGGAAATTATTCTAAACTAAATTATCTATAATGTCTTTTACTGGAATTTGACTTTACAGTAACTTTATATACTTTAAAATAGCATAAATTGGTATTAGGAATTAAATAAATGTTGTGCACGGAACCCTATTGACTTATTAAGACTCGGATTATGATATTTGGATAGTGCTCGTCGAGACCTTTCATTTGATACCCAACATGCCTATATTTGAAGTAAAACTTTTTGACTCATATTTGAACCGCAACAGAAGAGTTATAGACTTACTCACTGCAATACGCAGAACATTGTGTATTTATTTATTGAATCTCATTGAATAACATATTAGTACCAAAAAAACTCTACTGACTAGCAAATTAAAATGTCGGGAGATAAAAGGGACTCTACTGACGAGCAAACTAAAATGTTAAAGAAATAAAAGGGATTCTACTGACGAGCAAATTAAAATATCGGGAGAGAAATTGGACTCTACTGACGAGCAAATTAAAATGTCGGGGGAGAAAAGGGACTCTACTGACGAGGAAACTAAAATAAGATGAAAAGGAACTCTACTAAGAAGTAATATATAATAAAAAGAAATTGATCAATAATATAAAATGGAATCTACCGACGAGCAGAATTGAAAAAAAAAAAGGACTCTACTGACGAGCAAACTAAAATATCGGGAGAAAAGGGACTCTACTGACGAGCAAATACTTTGATAAATTAAATTTTTGAAAATTTTGAAAATTTCTAAGACTCTTACCTTAACAGCGCTCAACCTTACAGCCAACGCCGTATCGTCCGAAGGATTCGGTGGCGGCGCCACCAGCAAAGCCCTTCCTTGGGCCAAAGACTCCCTGATGGCGGTTGCATCAAAGGACTCTACTGCCACACCGTCTTTATTCGGCAGAGGAGAAGAAGACGCCGATGGATTGAACTCGGAAGCACGAGGACTAAAACCAAAAAAAAGTAAGATTAATATTGTTATAAGAAAGGACTCTACTGACGAGCAAACTTAATAAGAAAAAAGGAACTCTACTGACGAGCAAACTTAATGTAATATTAATAAAGTGGTTAGTGAACTTGAGAAAAATAGAACTCTATGCACTTGAGAAATTATTTTGTAAATTATTTTGCATTTACAAAAGGAACTCTACTGACGAGCAAATTCATAAATTATTAGTAAAATATCACTTTAGACAGAAAGAACTCTACTGACGAGTAAACTTAATGTAGTTTTTAAACTGTTTAGTAAACTTAAGAAAAATAGAACTCTACAGACTTAAGAAATTATTTTATAAATTATGTTGCAATTACAAAACGAACTCTACTGACGAGCAAATTCATATAGTAAAATATCACTTTAAACGAAAAGAACTCTACTGACAAGCAAACTTAATGTAATATCAACAAACTGGTTGATAAACTTAAGAAAAATAGAACTCTATAGACTTGAGAAATTATTTTATAAATTATGTTGCATTTAAAAAAGAACTCTACTGACGAGCAAAATCATAAATTATAGTAAAATATCACTTTATATAAAAAGAACTCTACTGACGAGCAAACTTAATGTAATATTAACAAAGTGTTTAGTGGACTTAAGGAAAATAGAACTCTATAGAGTTGAGAAATTATTTTACAAATTATATTGCATTCAAAAAGGGACTCTACTGACGAGCAAATTCATAAATTATAGTAAAATATCACTTCTTAGAGAAAAAGAACTCTACTGACGAGCAAATAATAAAATAAATAATTTATGGAAAAAATATAACCTTACTGACAAGCATAAAGTATATTAACGTTGTTCTTTAAAAAGGACTCTACTCACGAGCAACACTATTTAAAAAAGAGTGTAAGTAAGAAAAAAAGGATTCTACTGACGAGCAAACTTAATATAATAATAAAAAATACTTTTGTAGATATTGCCGAAGTATAAAAAAAGACTCTACTAGCAAGCAAAAAATCATTTAGGAACAAAAGAACTCTACTGACGAGCAAATACATAAATTAATAGTAAAATATCACTTTTTCTTATTAAGTTTGCTCGTCAGTAGAGTCCTTTCTTATACACAAAAAGAACTCTACTGACGAGCGAATTCATAAAATGAATAATTTATGGAAAAAAATAAAACCTTACTGACAAGCATAAAATTTTATATTAACGTTATTTTTAGTAAAAAGGACTCTACTGACGAGCAAATTCATAAATTAAAATAATTAAAAGATTATTGTAAAAAATGTAATTCTTAAAAAATATGTTGACTGATTTAGTTAAAAGGACTCTACTGACGAGCAATTCTAGTCAATATTTAAAAGCAATTAGTAAAATAACATTTGAGAATCATAAAAAAACTCTACTGACATGACAGTACAGTTCTATTTACTAAATAGACACATTTTACTAAATATCTTCAAGATACCAAATTTTCGGTTGGTCGAGACCTTTCATTTGATACCCCACATGCCTATATTTGAAGTAAAACTTTTTGACTTATGTCTGTCTTCGGGTTCTGCAACCCATTGGTCGGCGATTTATTAAATCTCTTGTAACTTTTGAACGGTTTGTCCGATTTAAGTGCAATATTCCACAAAGTTGTGTTAAATTACTTGAGGTATAATATTGTTTAATATTATAAGCCCTAGAGCAACTCGGTATACTTGTAGTAGTGACAATATTGGTAAAAGTTACAACGATGTTTAGTAAAAGTTACAACGATGTTTGAATAGAGCTCGTCGAGACCTTTCATTTGATACCCCACATGCCTATATTTGAAGTAAAACTTATTAACTTATGCTTAACCGTGAGTTCTGCAACCCATTGGTTTGCTTTTTAAAATATCTCTTGTAAATTTGAAACGTTCGTCCGATTTGAATGCAATATTCGGTAAATTTGTACTAAAGTAAACGGTTTGTAATATTTCGGAACATAGAAACCTTACAGAGACTTTAAAAGTTATTATTAAAATGTCAATATAGAAAAAAGGGACTCTACTGACGAGCAATTTTAAAAATTATTGCTAAAATGTTATTTCAAAAAAATATTAAAAATTAAAATATTAGGAAAAAAGAACTCTACTAACGAGCAAACAAAAGTTCAGTATATTAAGAAAATATTTCAGGAACAAAAAAAAACTCTACTGACAAGTAAACTAAAGCTGCACTTTATATTATTTCGTAAAATACGTTTCATTGAAAAACGAAATCCTACTGAGCAAAAGAAAGATGTCAATCAGTTCAAAGTAACTCAATTATCCTCTTAAGTTAGTGAAATATGTGAATTTATTTAATAAAGAGAGACTCTACTGACAAACTAAAATTCTTTATATCAAATATGAGTTGAAAAGTTTTACTTCAAATATAGGCATGTTGGGTATCAAATGAAAAGTCTCAACGAGCTTTATCCAAATATCTTTGTAACATACTCAACAAACCAGTAGGGTTCCGTACACATAATTTATTTACTGTTTTATATTAATTTTTGCTATTTTAATGTATATCAAGTTGCTGTAAAATCAAGTTCTAGTAAAAGCCATTATAGATAATTCAATTTAGAACAAATTTCCTGAATATTCCATTTACTTTAGACAAACGGTTCAAAAGTTACAAGAGATACAATGAAAAGTAAACCATTGGGTTGCCAAACTCGGTGTCAAACATTAGTTAAAAAGTTTTACTTCAAATATAGGCATGTTGGGTATCAAATGAAAGGTCTCGACGAGCTCTATCCAAATATGTAACTTCATATCAATTTTTGCTATTTTAAAGTATATCATGCTGCTGTGTAGAAATAATTGAGAAACTGATAAAAAAAAATTAAATTATTAAAAAGGGACTCTACTGTCGACCAAAATCTCTACTATCCTCTCCCCCTTACCTCTTCTTCTCGTCACCACTACAGCTCATTCCAGCCAAAAGTTTCTGCCAGCGCTGCTTCACTCCGTCGAGCATCTCCTCGACCCGGGCGCCCTCGTCCGGGCCGCTCCTGCGCAGGGCGTCCCTGCAGGAGGCGGAGAAGGCGCCCATGACGCGGTGCTTCTGCTTCATCTGGCGCTCCAGTTCTCGGAGGCCACTGGACTCTGGACCTCCACACTAGAAATGATAGAAATAAATGAAAAAGGACTCTACTCATGAGCAAAACGCAGTTATTGATATTACTAAAAAGAAACTCTACTGACGAGCAAAAGGAACTTCAGTATATTGGATTTATTATGATCATACCGACGTTACATTTGTTGAAACAATTTTACGATGTATTAAGAAAGAACTCTACTGACAAGCATTTTTTTTAAATGTAATTTAATGAAGTTATTTGGATGGCGATTGTCGAGACCTTTCATTTGATACCCCACATGCCTGTATTTGAAGTAAAACTTTTCAACTCATACATGACACCGCGTTCTGCAACCCAATGGTTTACTTTTTAATAAATCTCGTGTAACTTTTGAACCGTTCATCTAAAATGAATGGTTTATTCAGTGAGTTTGCACTAAATTAAACGCTTTATATTATTTCGGTACTTCGGTACCTTATAGAAACTTCAAAATAGCAAAAATTGATATTAAGAATATAATAAATGCTGTGCACAGAACCCTAACGGTTTGTTGACTATGTAACTATGATATTTAAAAAGTACTCGTTGAGACCTTTCATTTGATACCCCACATGCCTACAATTGAAGTAAAACTTTTTACCTCATTTTGACCCCGCGTTCGGCAACCCATTGGTTTACTTTTTAATAAATCTTTTGTAACTTTTGAACCGTTTGTCTAAAGTATATGGTTTATTCGGCAAATTTGTTCTAAATTGAAAGATCTATAATATGTACTAATATACTATTACCTTACAAGGTAATTGCAAGATAAAACGTTTTGAGTTATGTTAGAAACAATGTTTGGCAACCCATTGGTTGGCTTTTTGTTGTATGTCTTGTAACTCTTGAACGGTTTGTCTAAAGTAAATAGAATATTCAGCAAATTTGTTCTAAATTAATTGCTCTATAATTTCTTAGAATGTATCAAAACTCCGCAGCAACTTGGTATGCTTTAAAATAGCAAAAATTGATATAAAAAAGTAGATAAATTATGTGTACGAAACTCTACTGACATATTGAGTTTGTTGCAAAGATATTTGGATAGTGCTCGTAGAAACCTTTCATTTGATACCCAACATGCCTATATTTAAAGTGAAACTTTTTAACTCATATTTGACCTGGCGCACTATTTGTTTATTTATTGAATCGGTTGTAACTTCTAAAGTATTCAATTGATATAAATGATGTCTTTGACAAATTTGTACGTCATAAAATTATCTACAATATTGCTGAATATTGTAATGACCTACAACAACTCGGTATACTTTAAATGCACAAAGTAAATTTAAACGAAATGTAGCCAAATCGGTTCAGTTGTCGGACTAAATTATGTGCTCGGAACCTTATTGGCTTCTTTTGTTTGTTACTATGATATTTGGATAGTGCTCGTCGAAACCTTTCATTTGATACCCAACATGCCTATTTTTAAAGTGAAACTTTTTAACTCATATTTGACCTGGCGCACTATTTGTTTATTTATTGAATCGGTTGTAACTTCTAAAGTATTCAATTGATATAAATGATGTCTTTGACAAATTTAAAAGTATCTATAATATTGCTGAACATTGTGATGACCTACAGTAACTCGGTATACTTTAAAGTAAATTTAAACAAATTCTAGCCAAATCGGTTCAGTTGTCGGACTAAATTATGTGCACGGAACCTTATTGGTTTCTTTGATTTTTTTACTATATTTGGATAGTGCTCGTCGAGACCTTTCATTTGATACCCAACATGCCTATATTTGAAGTAAAACTTTTTAACTCATGTTTGACCTGCTGTACTATTTATCTTGTTTGTGTATTTATTTACTTTTGTGCTTGTAACTTTTGAACTACTCATCATAGAATAGTAGAATATTCGACAATCTTTTTCAAAATTGAATAGCAAATAATACTGTTTAATATTCCGTAGCTCTATATCAACTCGGTATATGCTAAAACGTATTTAGAAACAAAAAATCAGAGCTAGATGCTAGATATATATTGCATATGGAAATCTAAAAGGTTTGTTTGGTCTGTCATTGATATATTCGTTAAGACCTTTCATTTGATACCCAATACGCCTACTTTTGAAGTAAAACTTCTTAACTCGAGCACTGCAACCCATTGGTCGACTGTTTTATTGCATCTCTTGTAACTTTTGAACGGTTTGTCCAAAATGAATGAAATATTCCGCAAATTTGTGCTAAATTAAATGCTTTATAATATGTACTAACATATGAACCTTATAGCCACTCGGTTTACTTCCAAATCGCAAAAATACTCGTTAGAAATTGAATAATTAGTTTTTTTTTAAAACACTATTGGTTATTAAAGATCATTTGATACCCAACATGCCTATATTTGAGGTAAAACTTCTCAACTCACACTTGCCCCTTTTTCACTTGTTTCAGTTTCCTTGTCGCTATGGGCCCCTTTTTGTTTTTTGCTTAATTATTTTAATTTAAAAATTTTTAGTTTGCTCGCTAGTAGAGTCCCCCTTTTTTTGACCAAAATTTGTCATTTATAGAATATAAATAATTTGCTCGTCAGTAGAGTCCCTTTTTTGAACTTTCTCAACAGAAGAGTTTTTTAGTTTCTCATTTGTGAGTTAAGAAGTTTTACTTCAAACATAGGCTTGTTGGGTATCAAATGAAAGGTCTCGACGAGCACTATCCAAATATCTTTGAAACACAGTCAACAAACCAGTAGGGTTCCGTACACATAATTTATTTACTTTTTTATATCAATGTTTGCTATTTTAAAGTATATCTAGTAGCTGTGAAGTCAAGTTCTAGTAAAACACATTATATATAATTTAATTTAGAACAAATTTCCTGAATATTTCATTTAGTTTAGACAAACGGTTCAAAAGTTACAAGAGATCCAATAAAAAGTAAACCATTGGGTTGCCAAACTCGAGTGAAAAAGTTTTACTTCAAATATAGGCATGTGGGGTATCAAATGAAAGGTCTCGACGAGCACTATCCAAATATATAAATAACCACGTGTGCGCCGACCAAAAGGCAGGGCCCATTGGCCTAGTTTCACTCTTGCTCATGTCTATAATGCTACATTATATGTTTAGTTGCATTTTTGAAGTATACCGAGTTGCTGTATGTCTTTACAGTGTTCAGCAATATTAAAGATAATTTAATTTTAAACAAATTTGCCGAAGACATAATTCATATAAACCGAGCGGCTTACAAGTTACAATCGTTGTAATAAGTAAGTGCAGGAACAAAATGAAGTAATCTAAGCAGTACGGCAGGTCCAAAATGAGTTAAGAAGTTATACTTCAAACATAGATATGTTGGGTATCAAATGAAAGGTCTCGACGAGCACTATCCAAATACCATTATAACAGACTCAGCAAACAAGTAGGGTTCCCTATACATATTAAAATAACTCTTCTCCGTAGAGTTCTATTTTCTAATCTTACATTTAATTTCCAAATTTGCTCGTCAGTAGAGTCCTTTTATCTCAAAAATGAACATTTTAGAATATTCTACTCACCCCTTCAAATATAGTCTCGGCTCCGTCCAGCCAATTGGTCAATTCCGACCAATCATCGTTGAGTTTTTTCCAAAATTCCACATTCTTGACATATTTTTTGTTTTTCGCATCATAGTTAGCATTCAGCTTTTGCCATTCTTCCCTCAGTCTCTTCGTAACACTTCGTACTTGGTCGTAATTCTCACGATTTCCACCGGTTCTCAAAGATTCCCTGAAAAGAGAGAAAAATGTATAGAATTGGTTGTAGGAAAGAGATGCAAATAGTATTTTGTACTGTATAGAAAGAGATAGGGATAGTAATAAAATGTTTGTATATGTTTGGGTTTTGAATGTGATTTTAAGGTATACCGAGTTGCTGTAGAGCATTGGGGTAAAAGACAATATTTTGGATAATTTAGTTGTGAACAAATTTGTCGAAGACATCATTCATATCAGACGAATGGTTTAGAAGTTACATGAGTTTGAACAAAAAAATGCACCGGGTATACTGAGTTCCAATGCAAGATGTCAGCGTGCGCGGTATGTGTGAAATCTTGGAAAACGTTGAAGTTTGTATGGAAACTAGTGCAATTGAGTACTTTGTTATTAAGTGCGATTTTAGAGTATACCGAGTTGCTGTAGAGCTTGTGGTATAAAACAATGTCGTAGATTGTTTAATTTTAAACAAATTTGCTGAATGTTGCATTTAGTTTGGACAAACCGTTCAAAATTTACAAGGGTTTTATTAAATAAATGCACGCAAACGTGTTGCCGTACATGAGGTCAAATACGAGTTAAGAAGTTTTACTTCAATTATAGGCTTGTTGGGTATCAAATGAAAGGTCTCGACGAGCTTTGCGCAAATATACCAGTGATGTCCAAAACATACCAACAGGGTTCCGTACAAATACATATATCCAATATCCAAAACAAATTTTCTGGTTTCAATTGCAATTTTAAAGTTTACCGAGTTGATTTAAGTATTGATATTAAGTACAGTTATAGATAATTTAATTTAAAACATTTTTATTGAATGTTTTATTTGCATCAAACGATTTGTTCAAAAGTTACAAAGGTTTTAATATATAAATGCACGCAAACGACTTGTACTATAAATAGTACAGCGAGTCGAATGTGAGTTAAGAAGTTTTACTTCAAACATGGGCATGTTGAGTATCAAATGAAAGGTCTCGACGAGCACTATACAAATAACGTATATAACATTATTAAAAACCAATAGTGTTCCAAACAAACTAATTATTCAATTTCCAAAGTCTAATTTTTGTAATTTTAAAGTATACCGTAGTTGCTGTAAGGTTTCTGTATTAAAACATATTATATAGAATTCAATTTAGCACAATATTGCAGAATATTTCATTCATTTTAGACAAATCATTCAAAAGTTATGAAAGATTAAATAAAAAGTCGACCAATGGGTTGCAGAGCTCAAGGTTAAATATGAATTAAAAGTTTTACTTCAAATATAGGCATGTTGGGTATCAAATGAAAGGTCTTAACGAGCACTATCCAAATATACCAATAACTGACCAAAACAAACCTCCTAGGTTTCCATATTCAATATAAATCTATCATCTAGCTCTAATTTCTTGTTTCAAAACATGTTTTAGAGTATACCGAGTTGGTATAGAGTTTTAGAATATTACGCATTATAACACATCATTTAATTTTGTAGAGGATTGTAGAATATTGCACTTATCTATGACAAAAGGTTCAAAAGTTACAAGTAAAAGAATAAATAAATACACAAACCAGATAAATAGTACATCTGGTCAAACATGAGTTAAAAAGTTTTACTTCAAATGTAGGCATGTTGGGTATCAAATGAAAGGTCTCGACGAGCACTAACCAAATATCACAGCAACAAACTCGAGAAACGTCACAATGTCTATTTAGGCAATATTAAAATATAACAACTAGACGTAAGGCAATAGTATATTAGCAGATATTATAGATCTTTCAATTTAAAACAAATTTGCCGAAGAAACCACTAACTTTAGACAAACCGTTCAAAAGTTACAAGAGATACAATAAAAAGTAAACCATTGGGTTGCAGCACTCGGGGTCAAACATGAGTAAAACAGTTTTACTTCTAACATAGGCATGTGGGGTATCAAATGAAAGGTCTCGACGAGCACTATCCAACCAAATGGTTCCGTATCAAATTATCTTTTACTTTACCTGTCCTGTTCAATCTCCTCCATCAATGGTTGCAGATCATCGATGGCCCTTTTGATAATCCCCAAAGAAGCACCTTGTTCCTCGATTTCTTCAAAGTCCTTACCATTCAAAGGGTTCGCTTCGAATTGCTTAAGGACCCCTTGAACCACTTCGGATGTCTTTGTAGCTCTTGAGATGAAGTCGATAGGATCAACCTAGTAAAAGAGAAGAACCGATTTGAATGATTCAAAGAACTTTCTGCTTGTCTTATCAAAACAATTGCTTTTGAGACTAAAAAATTATCACATCTTTTTATTTTCCATAAAATATTTTCGTAATTTTGGATTAAAAATTGGAAAAGTGCTCCTGTAAAGTCACGATCTAAACGCACTTGCAAATATATTTGTTCTAAGTTATCACTTAGACTGTGCCTAGACGGACATATTTTTCATTTTTTTGTCACTCTTAGAGTAGTAATATTTATAAATTGTTTTTACATAAAAATTATTGCAAATTAGGAAAAGGCTCCAGTAAAGTCACATTCTAAACGCAAGTACATGTATGTTTGTTTGAAGTTGGCACTCAGACTGTGCTTATTGTTAGTATTGGAATTTTTTAACTTAAAATACTATTCTTTTCATAATTTATATAAAATAGAGATGCTCCCGTAAAGTCACATTCTAAACGCCCTTGCAAATATATTTGTACCAGGTAGTCACTTAGACTGTGCTTGGTTGGGTAATTTTTCGATTTTTTGAACCCAAAGTTTGCGATTCTATAATTTACATAAAATTCGAAAAGTGCTCCAGTAAAATTACATTCCAAACGACATATTCTTTGCGAATATATTTGTACCATGTTGTCACTTAGACGGGCAAATTTTTCACTTTTTTCAATAATTTTCACAAATTTAAAAAAGTAAAGTCACATTCTAAATTCAATTGTTAATATATTTGTGAGAAGTTGTCACTTAGACTATGCCTAGACAGACACATTTTTCATTTTTTTGCTGGTTTTTGTTGTTTTAACATAAAAATTACACTTTTCCAATTTTGTGAAAACGAAAACTATTGAAAAATATGAAAATGCCGCCAAACTAAGTACAGTATAAGTGAAAATGTCGCACAGAATTATTTGCAAATGCGTTTAGACTGTGACTATGGCTGGAGCACTTTTACAATTTTGTGTAAATAAATTGATTTTTGATTTACATTTGATTATGATTGCTCAAAGGGACTCTACTGACGAGTATATTAAATATCAATTTAAAATAACAAAAAAATGACTCACACAAATTTAATTTGGATTTAAAAAACAAAAAAGGACTCTACTGACGAGCAAACTTCGTTTTGATTTAAAAGACAAAGAGAAGACTCTACTAACGAGCAAATTCAATACTAACTTGGAGATCAAAAAAGGACTCTACTGACTAGCAAAATAAATATTGATCTGGAAGTTTTAAAAAAGGGACTCTACTAACGAGCTTATTATATTTCTATCTGAAATTTTGAAGAAAGGACTTACGGACAAGCAAACTTAATTTTTGATTTAAAGGACTCTACTGATGAGCAAATTGAATAAAAACATGAAAAATACCAAAATAGATCTTTAACGAATAAAGCAAAATGAATATTATACTAGAAAATTAGAAAAGGACTCTACTGACAAGCAAATTATTAACTTAGAATAAATAAAAAAGAGGCTCCACTGATGAAGAAAAATCGATGTAAAAATAATAAAAGAGACTCTACTAACAAGTAAACTTAATTTTGATTTCAAAGACAAAGAAAGGACTCTATTAACGAGCAAATTAAATATCAGCTTGGAGAAACAAAAAAGGGATTCTACAGACGAGCAAATTAAATATTGATCTAAATAATAAGAAAAGGAACTCTACTGACGAGTGAATTAAATATCAACTCAGAATACAAAAAATAGACCCTAATCACGAACAAATTAAGTTTCAACTTTTACCTTATAGAGAAACAGAAAAGGGACTCTACTGACGAGCAAACCTTAATTTTATTTTAGAAAATAGAAAAGGGACTCTACTGACGGGCAAACATAATTTTGATCTAGAAAACAAGAAAGGGACTCTACTGACGAGCAAACTTAATTTTCTCTAGAAGATACTAGAAGATAAAAAAGGACACTACTGAAAAGCAAATTAAAATTAAACTCTCAATATTAAGATAGAAAATGGACTGTACTAACGAGCAAATTTAGAAAAATATTGTAAATTATTATTTTAGAAAACAAGACTTTATTGACGAGCAAAAGTAAATGTTAAGACAAAAGAAACTCTACTGACGAACAAATTTAAAGGTTAATCAAGGCAAAATGAAATCTACTAGTGGCCAAAAATTAAATTTTTTTTTTTAAAAAAAAAGGACGAAGGAAATATTGTAATATATCATTATAGAAAACAAAGGACTTTACTGGCGAACGATTTGAATATGAATCTAGAATATGAAAAAAGGACTCTACTGACGATCAAGTTTAATTTTTAATAAGGAAAGGACTCTACTGACGAGTAAATTTAATTTTTCAGAAGACAAAGACTCTACTGACGAGCAAATTAAATATTGATCTAAATAATAAGAAAAGGAACTCTACTGACGAGCAAATTCAAAGGTTAAAGCTAAAAGAAATCTACTAGTGGCCAAAAATTAAATGTTTTTTTTAAAAATGGACGAAAGAAATATTGTAATATATCATTATAGAAAACAAAGGACTTTACTGGCGAACGATTTGAATATGAATCTAGAAAATAAAAAAAGGACTCTACTGACGATCAAAATTAATTTTTAATAAGGAAAGGACTCTACTGACGAGTAAATTTAATTTTTCAGAAGACAAAGACTCTAATGACGAGCAAATTAAATATTATTTTATAATAAGAAAAGGAACTCTACTGACGAGCAAATTGAATAGCAGCTTGCAGCAAATTCAGGACATTTTTCAAAATTACAAAACATTTTCCAAGATTTCAGAAACTTTTTTGAGTATACCAGACATTTTTCAAGATCATAGAAATTTTCTAAATATAGTAAATTTATGTAAAAAAAAAGAATAGTTAGTCAATTATTATTATTTACCTGTTCTGCCTGGAAATTGCTCGAATTGCTCGACAGTGTGAACCCTTCCATTTTCTTGTCGCCTGTGTTACCTGTCAGGCGACATTTGCCTGCAACCTGAGACCATTTTTCGTTGATTGTCTGTCTTGTTTTGTCGTCGTAACCTGAAATTAGAAGAAATTGTCACAATTGTCGTATAAAATAAATTATACATATATTACTTAAAAGACGAAAAAACTAAGATTCATATCAAAACATTGAAATGCTATAAAAACGGACTCTACTGACGAGCAAAGATATTAAAAAAAAAAAGTAATAAATAATAAATATAATAAGTGAAAAATGATAACACAAAAAGGGACTCTACTGACTCTACTGACTAACTTTTAGATCAAAAATCAACTTTACTCGTCAGTAGAGTCCCTTTTATAACTTTCTGAAGTATTCGTCAAAATTTAAATTTGCTTGCCAGTACAGTCCCTATTTTTAATTAAAATATTAAAGTTTGTTTGTCAGTAAAGTCGTGATTTCTAATATTCCTAATAAAAATTCTTATTTGCTCGACAGTAGAGCCCCTTTTCTAGATCAAAATTTAAATTTGCTTGTCAGTAGAGTCCCTATTTTCAAATAAAATATTAAAGTTTGTTTGTCAGTAGAGTCCCTTTTTTAAATCAGAATTAAATTAGCTTGTCAGTAGAGTCTTTTTTATATTTTCTTCTAGATTAAAAATCAACTTTGCTCGGCAGTAGAGTCCTTTTTTTAATATTCTAGCTCAAAATTTAAATTAATTCGTCAGTACAATCCCTTTTTAATATAATAAAATTAATTTTTTTTATTTTATGAATTTTGTGACTCTACTGACAACCATACTGATCCTTAACCATTATGAAATTTTTGTAAAAAAAACTCTACTGGCAAGCATTTTATATTTTAATTTGTAAAGTATCAGATCTAAAAAAAAGATAAAAATAAAACATTAAAACAAAAGGAACTCTACTGACTGAGCAAACTAAACACAAAACAAAACGGACTCGACTGACGAACAAACTTAACCTTAAAAAGTGAAAAATAAAAGTTCAGATATAAGGAACTCTACTGACGAGCAAGTGAAAATATTTAAAAAAACAAGACTCCACCGCCGAGATAAATTCCAAGAGAAAAAGGGACTCTACTGACGAGCAAACTAAAATTTATCATATTTAAATAATGACTAAGAACAAAACAGGAACTCTACCGACAAGCTAACAAATGTGTGGAAAATATTATAGAAAAAGGACTCTATTGACGACAAAAATAAACTTGGGCTAGAAATATGTTGAGGTAAAAAAAGGGACTCTACTGATAAACAAATTTAACCTGACAAAAATGTTAATAGAATATTGAGACGTTTGTCAACTATGTTACTATAATGTACTCGTCGAGATCTTTCATTTGATACCCCTGATTTGATGCCCATGTTTGAAGTAAAACTTTTTAACTCAGGTTTGATTCCAAGTGCTGCAACCCAATAGTTGGCTTTTTATTGTATCTCTTGTAACTTTTGAACCGTTTGTCCGAGGTAAGTGAAATATTCGGCAAATTTGTTCTAAATTGAAAGATCTATGATATCTACTAATATAGTATTACCATACGTCAAGTTAGTATATTTTAATATTGCCAAAATTGACTCTGTGACGTTCGTCAAATTTGTTACTATAATAATTGGTTAGTGCTCGTCGAGACCTTTTATTTGATACCCCACATGCCTATATTTGAAGTAAAACTTTTTAACTCACACTTGACCCCGCGTTCGGCAACCGAATGGTTACTTTTATTGTATATCTTGTAACTTTTAAACCGTTTGTCCGAAGTAACTGAAATATTCGGCAAATTTGTTCTTGATTAATATATCTATAATGTCTTTTACTAGAATTTGATTTTACAGCAACTTGATATACTTTAAAATAGCAAAAAATGCTTTCAAAATGTAAATAAATTATGTATACGGAACCCTATTAGTTTGATGAGTCTATTACAAAGATATTTGTATAGTGCTAGTCGAGACCTTTCATTTGATACCCAACAAGCCTATATTTGAAGTAAAACTTTTTAACTCATTGATTATTGACCCGCCTATAAAAAAGGATTCTACTGACGAGCTAAACTAAAATTCTTTTATTTTTCTCTTACCAATTCTCCTGATTTTGAGTTCTGTGGCCAATCCGTTCAATTTCTTCAAATCTTTAAACCGGCCAGAAAATTCGGCCTGAAGAGCCTTCGTATCGGCGTCGTGATTATTGGCCAGGTCCATCCTGTCGCTGATTGTGTCAATAAATTGGGACAATTCGAACAAAAGTCGGTTGTAGTTGAAGAGGTTCTCTTCGGCCTGTAGAGTTTGGGACTTTCTGGTCTCTGCTTCGGACATAACCTAGAAGGAAAAA